TTTTTTCAACAACGCATGTTCATGTGTATGAGTGTGCGTGTGTGTGGGTGTGTGGGTGTGTGGGTGTATGAATAGCAGCCACTGTTGCCGTAGCCGAGCATTCGTCATGGCACACGCAAAATGTCAAGCCCCAGCTAGATAAAACTAAAAAACAACACCAATAATCAACACTCCCGCCCCCCAACCCTTAGCTGATAAGCGTTACGTTCCGCTGTCGCCATATAATCATGAGCACGAGTTTTGAATCTTATGATTAGGGTGGGTAGGCAACAGGTGGGGCTGTTAGGCAAATTTCAGCTGAAAGAAGGAGTTGACGGTCACGCATTCACATTTTGCTACTTTTCGTTTTATTTGATTTGTTGTACTACTTAATTGTCGTTGTTGTAGCTGTTGTTGTTGTTGTTGTTGTTGTTATGGCACTCGTGCTTATCGTGCTCAATTTTCGCAAGTGTTATTGACTTTGGGCTATGGTCGAGTGGGCTCGGCTATGAATGCGATAGATAACCAAGCGATGGCACCAACTGTTGGCTTAGCACTCAACTCTAACGAGCTAACGAGTGAGAAAATGCAAATGATCTCCAGGTATAACACATATGAATGCATGTTAGCCATATAGGAAACGGAGAATATTTTAAAATATCTCAAAATATTTACACATACATATATGTATGTAGTTCAATTTGATTTGGTATATTGAAGGAATTGATGGGTAAACAATATTATTATGATCTTTAGCATTGTGATTTTCATAGTCATTGGCATTGTGTCGCTGTTATTGTCATTTTCATTAACATTATCATTGTCATTGGTATTTGTCATTACCATTGTTATTGCCATAATTATTGTTATTATGATTTTCTCAGTGTCAATATTCTCAATCATTGTCATTGTCATTGTTATTGTTGTCGATATTTCGATTAGCATTGCCATTGTCTCTATCATTGTCTTCATCACCATTATTATAATTCCTATTTACATTATCATTGTACAATTATCATAATTATTCTTATAAGGCACAAGAATCGTTCCCCGAAATGATGACAGAAATATTCCTGTCTTATAGAATTCAGCTTCCAGGTATTGCTAGCTATTAATTATTGATAGTCATTAATGAGGAAAAAACAAGTTGTTTACTAACAAATCTCTTAACTTTCCCTAGAATCTTCCACAAAATGATTGACTCAGAATGCCAACTATCTTTTCCTGTTTTTCTCACTTCCACAAAGAGATAAATGAAACCCCATTTAGACCTTAACTAGACCTTCGCTAAGACGCAGTATACAAGGCGACAAACTGTCAGGTAGCAGCGTAGTAACTGTTATCATTAATTTCCTATCAATAAGTAGCCAAGTAGCTGGTATACCACTCAGCTAGATGATAAACCCCCCAAAGAATCAACTTGGACAGCAGAAGTCCGCTAGAGCCCAAAGTTCAATGATGTACATGTATGCCAATAAAACAAATAATAATTGATATATAAGAACGGAAAACTGCCAGAGGCCCACAATTGTGTTGATTAGCGAGCCGCAATATAAAATATTAATAATCCAAATTAGCTAAAAATAAACCATCAATCATAGTAGTAAAATGCGACTTAATCTAATCACATCTGAAACAGCACGGCGTCTAGGTAAACAAACTACTCAGTCTGATCATTGACCAGGCGCTGCCCATAAAGATCCGTGTGTCGTGCCCACATGTATACTTAATAGCGCCCAATAATAACCAAATACAAATTTTCAGAGCTGCGAAAAAAAAAACACGCACACACACATACACACACACTTGAACACTTTAAAGCCTTATCGCAATGAAATTGACATGTTGACCTTAATAGAGCACACGGCATAAGCGCTTTGGGGTTCAGACTGGCCCAGTGCCAAAATGTCAGACCCATAACCTTGCGAGGCTAGGTTCCGCTATTGTAAGGTGCTGCACAGTGAGGCAAACAGTCAGACAAGCTAATGAAATATTCATTCTTAACATTAGCATATGATTCACATCAAATGATTTTACTAGAGATTTAACATAGAACCGCAGAACATCAATCTTAGAATATTCCAGAAGCCAAACTTATTCCGTTTAAAATTAAATAGAAATTTCAAGTGCCCGCGCTTCACTGTACGTCGTTCAAGCTGAATGCTTCCGCATAGAGTACCAGGCGCTGATAAGTAGCTAATGGGTAAATAGGGAAGTTGACCCTTGCGTCTAGCGGTCGGACATCTCGCGGCATAGGAAGTTCGACTGCAGCCCATTGCCATAGAGCTGAGATAAGTTTATTATTATTCCGAGAATACGACTGGGTTACTCTACACTTGCCGCATGGGGCTTAGTCAGATAAATATAGAACAAACAGCTGTCCGGAACCAGTTAGTGCACTGATCAGTCTCAAGCCAACAATGGATTCATGCGAATTGTTATTCCTGCTAAACGGAAATGCTTTTCCAGCTGTTGAAAATGTCTTGAAGTAAGTGAATGCAGCCGCCGTTCCGTTTCAGACCCTGGGGGGGCCCGACGGCGGTGGCGACATTTTAACAGCGACTTATAAAAAATACACTAATAAATAATTATGAAAGAAAAAACCATTAAGCAAACACAGCTTAGAATCAACTGACTGTGAAATACTCGTTTATACTAAATAAATACTCTAGTCTCTAGTCTCTAGTCTCTAGTCTCTAGTCTCTAGTCTCTAGTCTCTAGTCTCTAGTCTCTAGTCTCTAGTCTCTAGTCTCTAGTCTCTAGTCTCTAGTCTCTAGTCTCTAGTCTCTAGTCTCTAGTCTCTAGTCTCTAGTCTCTAGTCTCTAGTCTCTAGTCTCTAGTCTCTAGTCTCTAGTCTCTAGTCTCTAGTCTCTAGTCTCTAGTCTCTAGTCTCTAGTCTCTAGTCTCTAGTCTCTAGTCTCTAGTCTCTAGTCTCTAGTCTCTAGTCTCTAGTCTCTAGTCTCTAGTCTCTAGTCTCTAGTCTCTAGTCTCTAGTCTCTAGTCTCTAGTCTCTAGTCTCTAGTTCCAAGCCTCCTGCTTCAAGTCACGTTTCCTATTCATCCAGCAGACAGATCGATCGTCTAGCAAACTAAACATTGCACAAAACCAATATACTCTGCTGTCAATTCCAATAAAAAGCAGCCGTCGAAATGCGCAGACGCTTTGATTTATGGTGTGCTGTGAATGTGAGTTGTATTTTTGGATTTTGATGGGTTTCTATCGATGCTGCGCTTGACCTTTGGCTAAAATAAGCCGCGTCTGGCCCGGCACATGCACACACGAGTACACACAGACACACACACTCACACACAGAGACAATCGAACAGCTAAAGCTGTTAATAATGATTACTTTAACGAATCTCGAATCACCAACTGACTGATTGACTCATTGACTGATTGACGGACTGCCGGACTGACCGTCACAATCGGCACGAGCGGGCAGCACGAGCAACATGCTCAATTGCCACTACAGCTCCTCGTGTTGCCCGCTGATTGCAGGCGCGCCTCTGTCGCCCCGTTTGATAATCATCTCGTGCGTCAGCAAAGCCCCAACGCTCAACACTTTAGACGCTGGACAGGGGCACGGGAATGGGCCTGTGTTTGGGGCCAGAGACCCATCAACTGCCTATAGGATGTACTTTTTGCATGGCTCACCCAATGCCACAGTAAATGCCTCAGCAATGAAAAACATATTTACAATTTGAATACACTAGGCAACAAAACAAGTAGAAATTAATACCAAAATATAAAGAGAATTAAGAGACTGCCAAATGGGAACTTGACAATAATTGCACTGCCGATAATAGAGTTATCTCTATATCAACTAAATCCAAACTAATGAATAATTTTAAATGTTTTTTTCACTCCCCTCCTTTGTCGAAAACAATGTCATAAAAACTAACTCTATATGAGTGTTAAAGATATTTATCAAAATAGGAAATTAAAGACGATTAAAACATGCTCTTTGACTTTATGTTTCAATTCCTAAGTGCTTGAAATTATTCAACAATACATAATACTTGATTAGATTATAATGTATGTATGGAGGTAATTTACTTTCCATTGCAAAAAAAAATCATTTTAATGGAATGTACATGCAATTTTTTCTTTAATTGGACTTTTCTTGCCGAGTATCAGTCAGTCTGTCAGTCTATCAGTCAGTTTATCGTTCACTGAGACTATCACTCCATTGTTCACTCCATTCATCGATTAGTCAATCAGACAGTTAGTTCTTCAATCGGTCAATTAGTCTATCATTCAACACATACGTAATTCAGTCGTTCTATTGCTCAAGCAGTCAGGCAATCAGTTCCACAATCCGATTATCAATCCATAAGTTCATCATTCAGTCAGTGCATCATTCAGTCATACAATCAGTTCATCAAGCCGCCAGTCAATCCACACTTCAATTCGCTCACAGATCAGTCAATCCATCAATCAGGCAGTCCATTCATTTAGTCAATCAGACCAGCAGTCCATCACTGTGTCAGTCAGTCAATCAAGCCGTCAACTCGTCAGTCACTTACTATCAGTAATTCAGTAATCGGCAGTCAGTTCATTCAATCGATTAGTCGATCAACCTATTGATCACCCACTATCGAAACCCACTCTCGCACTCAACCGACAAAACAACAAACTATTTTATATATAGAAAGTTACCTAGTTATGTTGGACACTGCCATCACATGTTCACATGATTCTCACTTGAGTTTACCATCCAAAATTTCTTGGTATGCGAGCTGTTTCTAATATATAGGCGCACTGCCACTGGGCGCTGATAATTTTTATTCTCTTTTCTTTTCATTTCTTCCTTTTTGTTTTCAGTATTTGAATTTGTTCTTCTTCTTTTGTGTTGATGTTATTGTTGAACGGCGCTCGCTTTGTGGCTACATTCGTACATTCTAATTAAGCACGCCATTATGCTCCATTAACCCCCGGGGGCCAGCCGGAATCCAAGCAGAAGCCAACGAGCCACACACAAATCCGTCGATCGATCGAGGCAAAGCAAAGCAAAGCAACGAGACGTTGAGTTGCGTTTTCGCGATCAACTGCACGTCGCCCTGTTTTGCAAATAAGTCACAATTGTTGTTATTGTTGTTGTTGTTGTTGTTGTTGTTCGCTGTTTACTATTGGCTACCCATATTGGCGCTGACGCTGACCGCGGCACGTGCCGTTCAATCTGTGAACGACTTCGCAGTCGCCGCCCCCGCCGCAGACGCTTCGCTATTGACTTTTGCTCAGCCTCACACAGCACTTGATTTACACATGCACATGTATGTATATATATATATATATGAACATATGTATGTAGATGCCGAATAAACACAATGTTAATTGGACAATCTCTTAAATAATTTAAGAGTTTTTATTTATAACTAATTTCCAATCAATTCTGAGCGCGTGTCAGTTGTTGTGAAATTTCTTTTTCCTGCTCGGTTTTCTTTTTTCTTGCACTGCTGTTTATCGTCTTTCGCGCCTCAATTTACGTAAGTTCGAATAGTGTTTCGCACAAGTGAACGTGTGTGTGTGTGTGCTCGTGTTTGTGTGCGTATGTGTGAGTGAGTTATGTAAGCGTTGCATTGACTTTGAATCCCACATTGCGCATAAGTTGACAGTCTGCAATTTCACTCAAAAAAAACTTTTGCGTGTGTGAAGCAGTTATCGATCCCAATGAATATGCCCTACGTCGCGTCGGGCTAAAACGAAAACGAAAATACTGGAAACTAATCGAGCCACAATGCAGCATGAGGCAGCTAATGAAAGCAATCACAATTAAATTGAAAAAGTTAGGAAATAATTCATTAAAATTTAATTGACATGTTGATTGCTCAAAATGGCAATTCTAATGTATTTACTAATATACTAATAATAATATTAATAATAATAATAATAATAATAATGATAATAATAATAATAATAATAATAATAATAATTATAATAATTATAATAATAATTAATAATATTTATACCAATTATTAAAGCCATACAATACTACTCCTAATGTTAATGATATTTAATCCAATATTCATACTAATTATAATAATAATGAAAATAGTACTTTACTAAAAATACTATTGATAATATTATATATGCATTCTAATGCCAATTTTAATTCTAATAAGAGCAATAATGCTGATACTAATACCAATACTGATGCTTGAAAAAAATACTAATCTAACTACAATATAAGGCTCACATGCATATGAATACCCGTAGCAATACAAATACTAATACTGCATTCTACTTGCATTGCTAATGACTAGCTAATAACAATGTGAATATTAATACTAATATTAAAACTTATGCTATTGCCAAGAGATGTGCTAATACTAGCAGTCATACTTAAATTATTTATACGACTGATGACTAATAGTAATACTAATGCCGAAACAAAGACTAATGCCACTCAAAGTACTATTTAGAATTTAATTTTATAAATTATTTGTTGGCACCTGTTGAATCCCCTATATTGACAGGCCCCTCAAAGCATGGTAAGTGCTTTCAAATTCGTCATTATACGGTTATCCCCAACTGAACAAGTCGCTTCATATTTCCAGTCGCATGACGGGTTCAATAAATTCTTTACGTGAAAAAAAAAAGTGTAAATGAAACATATTTAGAACAGCGTGACACAGTCTTATGCTTATGTAAGAAAGTCAACTGAATCTGCATGTTATAACATTTAAGAGGGATGGGGTAAGAAAAGAAGTATGTGGGTTACGCAAGCGAACCTAAATAAAAAAATAAAAAAAAATAAATATAAATAAAAAACAAATATTATCGAAAAATTGAACAGTTGATTTTTTGAAAAAATTTGCTTTTGTTTACGTTTTTTGCACTGCAGTGTTTGCGCAAGAACGTGCTGCGTTTTGTGTATAGGTGTGTGTGAACGTGTGTGTGTGTGCGAGTGGACACAACAAAGACAACACCTTCAACACTGACAGCAATAAAAAATGGCCAATGACTTGGGATGGGTAATGAATCGTAATGACCAAAACGTGCCACGATTTAAGTCTTCAGCAATTTTTATTTATTTTTTTTATTTTTATTTATTTTTTTTTGCATTTACTTTTATTGTAGCGTATTCTAACCGAAAATCATCTTTAGCTTTGATACATTGGCATATATAAAATAGAACACACACATACTTACACATTGACACACTGCTACATGTGTCTCTATATCCAACGTAAATATATTGTATTTAGTTTGATTTATGAGGCTTTTTATCAGAGAACTGCCTGCTGTTTGCACGGTGGGAAACCCTAATCAGAGCGTGTGCAAATAGCAACACGGGCACCTGTTGCCGGACGGACGGAGTGGCGGCGGGAAGGTCGATTGGCGGTAGCTTTGACTCCAACATCAATCAGACACCCACGCGAGCCACATGCTGCACTAATTGACAGAACGTTAGCGTCAAATTGGAGCCCAGCGTGACAATCGTGCGGTATTTGCTTGAAATACAGTGGAGATCGGCTATAGAGGACTGGATTATGTTCGTAGCAAAGGATTTGAGATAGGGTATATTTTGATCTTTCATAATTTGACTGATATAAGAAAGGTTTATATAACTCGACACTAGAGATTGGCTAGAGATTATATAGGAACCCAGATAAAGAGCTAATTCACTTAGCTTCCATAATACTAATCGTCATCTAGCTCCAAATAGAACAGGTCTCATGCGATACACAAATCAAATTCCAATCTCAACCCGGATCCACTTTACTCAATCGCTTAAAGAGTAGAACTAATCTCTCTCTGTTGTTCTTTTTACATTTCAAAAGACCTTGTAGAGATACCTACATACATATGTATAACAATTTTGTATAAGAGCTGAAATTTATACTAATTTCCCAGTAGTTTGAGAGAAGAAGTCTCATATATATTTGAGAACATTCCAAATGGAATCCTAAAACAAAAAGAGTTAAAACGGTAGCTGGGTTAGTTTAGTGACTCGCATTTACATTCAGCATTTGCATAATGTCTAATAGAATACACATTTGCCATCCAGTCAAGTACAACTGTATCTACATACATACATACATATATATATATATATATATATTGCTATCGCCAAATAGATACAAATACTATTATGTGTATAATATATGGAGCTTGCTGGGAATGTCGCCGCGAATTCCGCGGAATATAAAAAACCACAATGAGCCGTGTGAATTCAGCTGCTGCTGCAGTCGCGTGGACAATGACAATCTATGACAAAAGCGCCGACGCTACGCTACGCGACGCGACGCGACAGCCAAAGCGCCGACTGCGCTGCCGGCGGCTCACGCGCTGCCAATTGCTCCCAATGGCGCGTGTGTGGCTTAAAGTGCTCTGCCGCCGCCCGCCGTCGCTGACGCTAACTGGTTTTGTTGTTGTTGTTATTGTATTTTTTTTTTTTTTTTTTTTTCAATTCATCGTGTGCTCTCAGTTGGCTTTATTTTATTTTCTTTTCTCTTTTTTTTTATACCCTGAACCCATTGAAAATGGGAAATCAGGGTATAATGGTTTTGTGAAAAGTATGTAACAGGCAGAAGGAATCATCGCAGACCCCATAAAGTATATATATTCTTGATCAGCACGACGAGCTGAGTCGATATAGCCCTGTCCGTCTGTCCGTCCGTCCGTATGAGCAAAAGAATCTCAGAAGATATAAGAGCTAGAGAGCTGAAATTTGGCATGCATACTCGTGTATACCATGGGCAGTACAAGTTTGCTTTATTTTTTCGATAACTCTTCCGATAACTTTTTTATCGAGAATAATCGAAAAATCGACTTGGTTTTTTCAGCCTAATTTTAACACTTTTAGACCTGGAGACTTCAAATTTGGGTTGTAAATAAAGTTAATGGATACAAAGATTTTGTAATTTACAGATTTTGGATACCACGCCCCCTTCTCCCCCAATTTGTAAAAAACGCATTTCAAATACTAGAGACTTGGGCTTTGGAATGTACACATATTTTAGCCATATAATTACGCTCTGAAAGTTTTATTAAGATCGTATGTCTACAAAAGAAATTATTCAACAAATAAATTCTCATAATATTGCCCACATTGCAGCCCAAGCGCAGTCGCTGCTAACTGCGCAGTCAGCAGAGCGCGTGCTTATAAGTGCATGTGTATGTATGTGTGCATAAAGGAAGTCCAGACTGATTAGAATATCAGCTTGGAGGGTTCAGGGTATCTCCTAGTCGAGCAGTCTCGACTGGAGCCTTCTTACTTGTTTCTTATTGCTACCTGCCATTTTATACACTATGCAGGGTATTATATATTGATCGTAAAGTGTGCCGGGCATTAAAAGCTGACATATCCAAATTCATTTAGTATATATCACAGCTTGAGCAGACATGCGCGTCTAATTGTGGCTCTAGAGTCCAGTCATACGATTTTACGTAGGCTCGTCTTTTTGTGCAGCAAATGTGTCAGTGGGCATTTCTATATATTGTATATCTCTATTGTGAATCACTCTGTAATGTAATTCTAGTCTGAACAAAAATCATTTTTATTATTAATTTATGAGTCTAACCACGCTCCCTACACACAGTGTCCAAAGTCTCTTTAACACAAGCATTAGGTTACGAAAGCGTAGCCTTTACTTAGCATCATGAATTAGCAAAGATTCTAGAAGGTTTCATCATACTCATGCGTGGTTCGAAGTCTTTTTCCAATTTACCGAACACCCTTTGAGCAGAAGATTATAGATGATATGTTTAACTGCAGCGAATTTTTCAAATTGATACGTATGTATATAGAATTTTTTACTTGTATTAAATGCAATAGTCAATTGTTTTGTAGACAGTTTTTTTTATTTAAGTCTTAACTTTTCTGATATCTCAGAGCTTCTTCCAATTGAACTGCTCTCAAGACAAGCTAAAAATTATGTTCACCAACTCTTATAAAGCTGCATTCAACAGAGCATCTAAAGTTCGTCTTGCTTGGCTAGTCTAAGTCTTTCTCGTTTTATAATCTTTAGCTTTTAACTCTTTGTTGTTATTGTTTTTTGCACACGCGCGAGACGCGTCTACCGTCTAGCCGAAGTACAAAAACAAATTTAGCTATTTATGCTTGTTGCTGTTTGCTGTTGCTTTTGTTGTTGTTGTTGTTGTTGTTGTTGTATTTGGCTTTCTTTTCATTATGGGAATTTCCAGTCAGCGTCTAGCGCACTTAATGTGGTTTCTAAGCTTTGATGCTGCGGTCTAACTTTTTGAATGTTTAGCCAGACGAAAACCTCAAGCTAAGTTTCGAATTAATTTGAGTTAGAATTCCATTGACAAATGGCGCCACATTTTGACAAAAATTAATTTTTCATTTTTTTTTTTTTTTTTTTTTTTTGTCTACCTATGCTGATTTAGTGTGCTTGAATAAATTATAAATTAAATGCGAATCGAGCTAATCTGTTAGCTAGACATATTCAGAGATGTAAATAACTCGCTCCCTCTCGCTCTAACTCTCACTCTTTCTCTGTAGTTCCTGTTTAGCTGGATCACTTAAGCTATTCGTACTTTTTATTAGCAAACTGCATTGGATCAACTTGTTGCCATGATTCACTGTAGAGTGCATAGTTCCATTGCTGACAGGCAACAATTAGAATTGAATCTGTTTAAAGTTCAGCGCGAACTACTTATTTAAGACACATTTCCCTGTGACGAGGCCGTGACTCAGCCGATTGTTTGTGATTACTATTATAGTATAAAATCCTGAAGTGACACTCACAAGTGAATTTAAACGCAGATTTCTGATGAAACGCGGTTCGCAGTGAATGGATGAGTCATGCAGCTCATCTATTTAGTTATCCCCGGAATTTGTAGCCAATTTCATTAATATGAAAAATGTGGAGGTGAAATTTCTTTGATTGCGTCAACGTTTTGCGCCATAAATGACGTCGTCAATGTACTTTGGCACCTGATACACGAGCCGTGGCCGTTGCTTCCACATCGATGACGATGCCTCTATGGGGTTGATAAGCAGCCTCAGACTGGGCCAGACAATCAGTCATAACGAGCGGGCGTCTTATCAAAACTATGTACATATATACACATATATATGCGCATATACATATTTACACATGTGCAAAGACTTGGATCGCATGGTGAAATAATGCAGCGCACGTAGACGCCTTTGCCTTTGACTTTGCCTTCGTTCTGCGTTCTTCGTTCTGCTTTCTGCGTTCTTCTTTCTGCGTTCTTTGCTTTGACTAACACAAACACTCACTGTCGAGCTGTAGGAGTACGTGTTTTTTTGGTTATCATCAGGCATGGGTTCTGTGTTATCAGCTTTTTAGTCAACCTAGCAGTAGCTACTGCCGTCGCCGTCGCCGTCGCCACAGCTGCTGCTGCTGCTGCTGCTGCTGCTGTTTCTACCCCGCCTTGGCCCTTAGCCAGGGCTAGTAAGTATAGCAAATATCTCTATATGGGTCAGCGCAACTTTCGATTAGAATATTTTTACTTTGACGTCAGCCGGCGTGCCGGAACTTCTGGACATCATACGATGCATGCATACGAGCTATATATATGTATATGTATGTGTATGTATGTCTTTATATGTACATATAGTTCTATTAATTGTATTAAATGCGTCGAGTTGCCTGCTTAGTTTTTAGATAAGATCTGATGACCGATTGTATGGCATGTTGCGAAATTTCTCAGGGGCTCGACTCATTTCCTGATGCATATGTACTTCATAAAATTCATATATATATAAATATAGACATGGATATCGTTACGCATTCCACAATTAATTTCCACGTATATTATAATTATAGCACTGCACGAGACTGCTGTGCTGATGTGATTTTTAAAAGGAATTTCCGTTGCAACTTGACTGTTGTGGTTTGGACCCCCTACTATATATAAGGTAATTTGATTTAAATATTAAAGTCAGCTGCATATTTCTTGGAACAAGAATCAATTGCTGATTGACGCAATCTCATTAACACAATAAAAGCATTTGTTCTTTTGATTGCGCAGGTGTCCAAGCACTCGACTAGAAGATACCCTGCTCAAAATGATGTCTACAAAATTTACGAGATTTATTTAATTTAATTTAATTTTGTATTTATTTTTAGTCTACTTTTCAATATTTTTGATATTTTATAATTTAATTTAAATAGTTTTCTTTAGTTCAGTTTTTATACCCTGAACCCATTGAAAATGGGAAATCAGGGTATAATGGTTTTGTGAAAAGTATGTAACAGGCAGAAGGAATCATCGCAGACCCCATAAAGTATATATATTCTTGATCAGGACGACGAGCTGAGTCGATATAGCCCTGTCCGTCTGTCCGTCCGTCCGTCCGTCCGTCCCTCCGTCCGTCCGTCCGTCCGTCCGTCCGTCCGTCCGTCCGTCCGTCCGTCCGTATGAGCAAAAGGATCTCAGAAGATATAAGAGCTAGAGAGCTGAAATTTGGCATGCATACTCGTGTATACCATAGGCAGTACGAGTTTGCTTTATTTTTTCGATAACTCATCCGATAACTTTTTTATCGAGAATAATCGAAAAATCGACTTTGTTTTTTCAGCCTAATTTGAACACTTTTAGACCTAGAGACTTCAAATTTGCGTTGTATATAAAGTTAATGGATACAAAGATTTTGTAATTTACAGATTTTGGATACCACGCCCCATTCGCCCCCAATTTGTAAACGCATTTCAAGTACTAGAGACTTGTGCTTTGGAATGTACACACATTTTAGCCATATGATTACGCTCTAAAAGTTTTATTAAGATCATACGTCTACAAAAGAAATTATTCAACAAATAAATTCTCATAATATTGCCCACATTGCAGCGCAGCCCCAGCGCAGTCGCTGCTTACTGCGCAGTTAGCAGAGCGCGTGCTTATAAGTGCATGTGTATGTATGTATGAATAAAAGAAGTCCAGAATGATTAGAATATCAGCTTGGAGGGTTCAGGGTATCTCCTAGTCGAGCAGTCTCGACTAGAGCCTTCTTACTTGTTTATTTAATGATTTTTTTCATTTATTGAATTGATAATTTTTTGTTTGTATTTTTTAAAAATATTCCTTTTTATTACTATTTTGTTTTCAGTTATATTTATTTTTAGTTAAAGTTTTACTAAATTTTTAATACAATTTAATGCAAACATAAATTTTGTTAGTAGATTTTTTTATACCCTGAACCCATTGAAAATGGGAAATCAGGGTATAATGGTTTTGTGAAAAGTATGTAACAGGCAGAAGGAATCATCGCAGACCCCATAAAGTATATATATTCTTGATCAGGACGACGAGCTGAGTCGATATAGCCCTGTCCGTCTGTCCGTCCGTCCGTCCGTCCGTATGAGCAAAAGGATCTCAGAAGATATAAGAGCTAGAGGGCTGAAATTTGGCATGCATACTCGTGTATACCATAGGCAGTACAAGTTTGCTTTATTTTTTCGATAACTCGTCCGATAACTTTTTTATCGAGAATAATCGAAAATTTGACATTGTTTTTTCAGCCTAATTTGAACACTTTTAGACCTGGAGACTTCAAATTTGCGTTGTATATAAAGTAAATAGATACAAAGATTTTGTAATTTACAGATTTTAGATACCACGCCCCCTTCGCCCCCAATTTGTAAAAAACGTATTTCAAGTACTAGAGACTTGTGCTTTGGAATGTACACACATTTTAGCCATATGATTACGCTCTAAAAGTTTCATTAAGATCGTATGTCTACAAAAGAAATTATTCAAGAAATAAATTCTCATAATATTGCCCACACTACAGTGCAGCTCAAGCGCAGCCGCTGCTTACTGCGCAGTTAGCAGAGCGCGTGCTTATAAGTGCATGTGTATGTATGTGTGCATAAAAGAAGTCCAGAATGATTAGAATATCAGTTTGGAGGGTTCAGGGTATCTCCCAGTCGAGCAGTCTCGACTGGAGCCTTCTTACTTGTTTATTTTTTTATTTATTTATTTTTTGAATATTCCCATTATCTTTCTTTTATATTACGAACATAAAAACTGTATCTAAACATTCAAGTTAGATTATAATTTTATAGTTCTCATCCAATCAAGACTCATATCAAAGCTGAATCAATTTTTATATCTGATGTCATTTTGGCGAATGGCATTTCCTTCAGACTTGCTGACGTTAACGAAGAACTTATCACTTGATTACGTATGCCTTTCTACCGATATTGATCGATCATTGTAATTAGGCCTGCATAATGAGCATTAACAGATGACTTTAAATGTCATTGAAGCGCTTAAGTGGTTAAATATAGAAACAAAAGCCAAAAATAAATTACAATTTCCAAGGAAACGAACCAAACAAGTTGAGCTAGGTTAAAAATAGGTAACAAATAATGCCCCAATATGAATACCTATGCGTGCGTAGCTCGATATCATAATGAAATCTTATCAGGTGTTAAGATATCTAAATGTGTTTAACGCTATGCGAGATCCGAAAGGTAACTAATGACGACTAATAGTCTGGAAACTTGGAAACTTTTATTTTTGTACTTTTCCATGGGTCTAACGAAATTAGACCAAGTATTAAATGGTTTCTGGTCTCATTTCCAGAGCTAAAACTTCCATTGTGAGCCAGCCAAGCAGACATGATCACGACTAATCGACTATGGTGAGTCGGGGATCTTAAGAGACCTCTTGAATTGCTGAAGAGACTGGCCGCAGGGCTCTAGATTTTCTGCTGCTGCTGCTGCATAAATATTATTTTTGGCTTTTGAGCCGGAGACAATGAATATGGCGACGTTTGCTATATAAATAAACAGTGCCAAAAATATAACAAATAACAAAGAGATTGGGCAAGATTGATGTCGTTGTTGATCTTGCTTAATTTTTTCTAAACTTTTTTCCGTTACTTTTTTTTCAAATCTATTTTTATACTCCTTTATCAAGGCAATGAGGAGTATATAGGTTTTGTTACATTTATATATTATTGGTGTCATATCAGAAGCTCAAAGAGTTAAGAGAAGCTATATAGAAAAATTATATATTCCAGAGTTTTAAATCGATTGAAATATATCGATTAATTTGGCACACGAGCGAGTATTATGCAGTCAGTTTGGTCGGACGTTCTAACTTGTTTTCTTTATGAAATAACACCAAAGCGTGCCCCCAGTCAAGTTTTCGTTATTGTTAATTAATATCTTTTATTTTTATGTGCTGAAATAAGCCATATTGTTGTCAGATATATACAATATATATACATATATATGTGGTCGAATAGTCACTATTTTGATCATCAAAATCGAATGGCCATAGCGAGACGCAGACACAAAAAAAAAGAAGAAAAAAATTTGCATTACAAATTTGCACCCAGAAAGCTGTTGATATCTAAAGAAAAAAGTCACCTTGCATGGAATTTCGCTGTGGCGCGAGAAAAGGAATAAAAAGGTTGGCGTGATAACTCACAAAACAATAAAACCGAGATTTAAATAAATATATCTACACACGCACACACATGCATAATACATAAATAAATAAACAAATATGTTTGCGTGAATGCTGAATAGATTGAACCACTGTTTGTCATTTCTGTTAGCTCTCTGGCATTTTTTCTGGCGAAACGAATTCGACAAACAGTCGTGGTGTCGGTCAGGAGGGGGGAAGGGGGGGAGTTGGCGAGTGGCTGACGCACAGAAAAAAAAATACCCCGTAAATCAGTTGAAAATAACTGGAATCTCTTGTTTGTTTGCATTTTGTCCGGGGCCACAGAATTAAACAGTAGCCCTAACGCCAAATCAAACAAAATTGCGACTGTCAAAAAAAAATATATATGTATATGTAGAAAAATAAACAAAATTTATAGATAATGAGGAATTTGACTAGCAAAACAAGTTAACACGGAGATCCCCAAAAAAGACAGCCTGAGAAACTATTTTGTTTTGTTTTTGTTTTATATAATTGGAGAGAGAACCATGCAAAGGTTGCCAATTAATCTAGCTAGCTGTCTATCTGTCCATATTTATATGATACGAAACCATTCTACTTCTTGCCTGACCAGATATCACAAACTAGTTGGAGCGTCTGGCTAGACATCAGCTGATCAGTGATCTACTGACTGGAGATCGTTTGACTACAGATAATCTAAACAGCGATAGTCCTATTTGAGATCAGATAAGTAGGGATCACCGTAAATCTAGGCTGACCGGATCAACTAAACAGAGATCGATCTTAATAGAGATCATCTGAGTCAAGATCGCTAGGCTAGGGATAGGCTGATTTCAGATCACGCAAGAAAATATCATAATCTCTCTACTTTTCTTATATAATATATACATATACATATATATAATATATTTGGGATTCCTCAACACACGCAACCATTGCCTTTTGTTAAAGACAATCGAAATGAAAGTATTCATTTGAATGTCATTCGATATTAGGAATGTGAATAAATTTCTTAAGATACGCTATATTAATGACTGTATAGAATTTAAATTAAATTTCGTGAAAGTATAGAAGATAGTCAAAAGAATATACATAACTTGGCCAAAATTTCGAGTCATCCAAATTAAGAGATTCCTGTCAATCTCAAGCATCTGCATCTGTTAGATATGTAAGTAAAGCAATTGCATTCAATGAATATACGATCATTCGATTTCAAAAATGGCTCATTTCAGACTCAATTCATTATTTTTTGGCAAAAATAAACGTGATGTAAGCTCAAGTCGTTTGTGACAATTTTGTAGAATTATTGACTCTTTCAAGATCTGAGCTCATTTGTTCATTTTGAGCTCATTTGAAACTCATAATTTATGTATTCCATTATTGAGAAGTATTTCAAGCCTCAAGAGATATAAGATCTTCGAAAATATATAATAATATAGCAATTTTCAGTTCCTTTCCAAATCAATTCAAGCTGAAATTAAAACAGTTGTTGTACGGAGACTAATAGAACATATATGAACTTTTAAATTCTCATCTGCCTCTTTCTCCTGCTCCTCCAAAAGTCTTTATATGCATTACATTACTATATTTTCAAAATATTTACAAGCTCAGACACATTATATATAATTTCTTCTCGAAATCAAATCTAAAAATCAAATATAGTTTCATATGCCAAAATCTATAAAAACTTCTTTAGTGAAATTATTGATATGC